ATTTATACGATTCTTTTTTTGTTAGTAAGGGGGTACCTCAGGGGTGGTCCCATATAAATTTGGTTAAGATGTGGCATCTGCACGTTTTTGAAGTCGGTTTTTTTAAATTTTTAATTTGTAATACTTGTTACAGGTATCATTTTGTGATTATTTATGTGCTTAAAAGGGGAATCATTTTTATTTGGGTAAAATTTAGTAAAATGGAATTATTAAGTTATGTGGGTAGTTTTTTCATTTTATTGTCAGGGCCTTTCCTTTTATTTTGTAGAGCAATAATTAATAATTAGAATTACGGTCATAAAAATCAGTTATTGTAAGTCCAGCCACAGCAACTAATAAACTAAGCCCTTCCGGTTTATGATCATAAGAATCAAGTGTCAAAGCCCTCTATTATTTTAGGGTTTAGGAAGCCAATAACCTGCTTTTGGGGCTATAAATTGTCGTCTTTTGCATTCATTTAGATGGTGAACAGATGTTTAAATTGTATTATATTTATTTGTCGAGTCCTATTGTTAAGTAAATTACGGTAATAATATTTTCTTTCATTCTGTATGGGGTAAAAATGGGTAAAATCATGTCTTATTTCTAAACGTCCAGATTTCAGTTTTTTTTTGTTTTTAAGAGTGAATATGTGCAGAGGCGGGTAACAATATAATTTTAGGTATTACGTTTAGGTAAGCGGACATATTAGGCTCATCTGGGCATCACTTTAACATATAGGTTATAGAACTCCGGTATAATTGTTTTCCTTTTAGAAAAATGAGTGCTTGTGATTTCGGAGCTGTAATTTATAGTATTGATTTGTCGGTAATTAGAGCAAAAAGAACATAGCGCCGAAAAAGAGCCTTGAGCCACCCATAGTACGTGCGGAACCTCAATAGTAGGGCCTAAAAATGGTACTTTTTCCCCACGTCTATGAACAGAAATGCCTGATAGAGGCAGGATGAATCTTAAGAAAAGATACCCCAAAAGTGGGCCTAACGGGCATCCCCCTTTATATCAGGTGTTCTGTTGTCGTACAAGTTATTGTTATATATGCAGTGCTGAACACAATCGTAAAATACGGTATTGGGATATTAGTGGAAAGGTGTTACGCAAGATGAGTTTAAACTTCTCATTTACATATTTATATCCATATTCATATCTCGCCATACTCTTCGTGATACCGCTGAACTTCACTATATCAGACAATACGTATGCAGGTATTATATTAGCAGTGTGTACTGTGTATGATTGTGAACTATAAAGGGATAACAAATATACTGTAGTAGTCATCATACTTTCGCCGGTTCATAGGAGCTTGATATCCCTTCGGTTAGAAATGAGACATGGAAAAGTTAAAATAAACAAACATTATTTTTAACTTTCCGCTATAAGAAATAAGTTTAAATAAAACTATTCTTAATCTATTTTTGTGTTTACTTTTTTTATTCCTCTATTACAGCTACATTGAACTCTAAGCGAAATTTTGGGGTACTACAAAAAATCACTAGACGCATTTTTAAGCCAAGGTTTGAATATTTGTAAAACTAGGTTAGGACGTTAGGACCCGATTTGTCAGGTTACAATATTGATCACATTAACGAGAATTTGTTGGCTGTACATGAATGGTGTGTTAATTATGATCCTAAATTGAATCCTAAAAAGTCAAGTGCCATTTGTATAGTTTCAAAGTTTAAGTGCAGGTCTATTATTAGTTTTAAACTGTCTTTAGATGAGAAAATCATTACATGATCCACTTGTGCTAAAAATTTGATAGAATGAAAATTTGAATTTGAACGTAGTAAGCGTTTCATACTTAAAATTAAAATCAATTTATCATTTAAATTTTCTCTTAAGTGAAAACATTAAATTATAAATTATTAAAGCTCTTATTATATCCTTACATTGACTACTGTTCCATAGTTTATTGCTACTCTCTTACTAAATATAACCAAGGGAAACTTCAGAAGATTCTAATATTTCGTATGAGATTTACTTGTAATATTCCTTATAGAAATCATGTTTCTTCATACATTCGCAGATTAAATGAATATAAAATTCAGGAGAGATAAAATATTTATATTTAATTTTTTACTTTCCTATCTGTATACAGATATAAGGAAAGTATAGGAATCATGATTTTTTTCGACCTCGAGTTTTCGACGGATTTTTACGTTTTGAGATCCCCTGAATCCGTTTTGACTATTTTCGCGATGATGTCTGTGTGTGTGTGTGTGTGTCTGTGTGTGTGTGTGTGTCTGTGTGTGTGTGTGTCTGTATAACGCATAACTCATGAACCGATACACGGAAAAACACCAAATTTCAAACTTAAGCTTTATTCTAGCGTCTAATGAGCTGATTAGATTTTGGGCAGAGTCGGAACATCTGGGGGGGTACTTTATAGGTGGTCATTTTTATATTTTATGGAATATCTCTGTTATTTACGTTTGGGGAAGAAAATTTTTTAAATAAAAGTTACTTCTTATTTTATTATCTATAATTTTTGTTATTTACAAAATTTTCCTAAAATGGTCCGTATTCGAGAAATTTGACAAAATGTAAAAAAATATTTTTTTTATAAAAATTGTTCAAACAAAAGTTGTTTGTAATATAATTCTCTATAATTTTTGTCCCATAGATAATTTCTCTAAAATGGACCGTATTCGAGATATTTGAGAAAATGTGTAAATTTCGAAATTTGAAGAAAACTCAAAAACGGATAAAGAAAAAATCAATAAATTTTAAACTTAAGTTTTATTTCGGCCTGACGTGAAATGATTAGATTTTGGACAAAGTCGGAACATCTGGGGGGGTACTTTATGGGAGGCCGTTTTTATATTTTATGGAATATATCTGTTATTTATGTTTGGAAAAGAAAATTGTTCCAATAAAAGTTACTTCTAATATTATTATCTATAATTTTTGCTTTATGTAAAAATTTCCTGAAATGGTCCGTATTCTAGAAATTTGACAAAATGTGCAAAATTCTGATTTTTATGAAAATTGTTGAAATAAAAGTTGTTTGCGATATCGATCTCTATAATATTTGTTCAAACATGATTTTTTTTAAATGGACCGTAATGGAAAAATTGTAGGAAAAGTGCTAAATTTAAATTTTTCAGTATTTTCATTTTCAATGAATATCTATAGAAAAATGTTTCGCGGTAGATGTATGTGGACAATGTATATATTTAGTTTATCCTCTAAACATTTATAGAGATGCTGCAATAGGTTGTACACAATAAACGGAAAAAGCCTGTAATACCTAGATAGGAAAGTCATGTGTTGGACACATCAGATTTTTGTATAAAATTTTAATGTCTAAAATTCCACATAATTTACATAATATCTTATTGAGAAGATCAACTTAAATTTAAATTTAAGAGTCAACACTCATCAGTGCATAGAACTTCAAAATTTCAGGGTTGTTTTAGTTGCCATTATTGTTAAGTTTAGAACTTAATAATTTAAATTTGAATTTTAATAATTTTATTAGGACTATTTTTATGCAAGTTTTTATTTCAAGAGAATGATTTAATTTAAAATAATTATTTTGTGAATATTTTTATCTGTTATAATAGGGATTAATTGAAAAACGGCTTAGCCGAATTCATTCCTTTTGAGATACTAATGTATTTATAGTTGCTCAATAAACATTATTTATGTATTATCTATTTTGTAGGAGGTGCTAAATAAGCCACAATGGTGGCACAAATTTACGTTAAACTTTTTTGTGTAATCATCGGTTATTGTTAAATATATATTTAAAAGTGATATTTGTACTTAAATATAAACAGTTAAACTCCTGTTAGCTAAACTGAGTTCACAGCATTCTTTGTACAACCCGCCCTAAATAAACTGTGATTTACTTTACTAGGCTTAACGGATAAACAAATAATCGAGATAATCGAGATAATCGAGATAATCGAGATAATCGAGATAATCGAGATAATCGAGATAATCGAGATAATCGAGATAATCGAGATAATCGAGATAATCGAGATAATCGAGATAATCGAGATAATCGAGATAATCGAGATAATCGAGATAATCGAGATACTCGAGATAATCGAGATAATCGAGATAATCGAGATAATCGAGATAATCGAGATAATCGAGATAATCGAGATAATCGAAATAATCGAAATAATCGAGATAATCGAAATAATCGAAATAATCGAAATAATCGAAATAATCGAAATAATCGAAATAATCGAAATAATCGAAATAATCGAAATAATCGAAATAATCGAAATAATCGAAATAATCGAAATAATCGAAATAATCGAAATAATCGAAATAATCGAAATAATCGAAATAATCGAAATAATCGAAATAATCGAAATAATCGAAATAATCGAAATAATCGAAATAATCGAAATAATCGAAATAATCGAAATAATCGAAATAATCGAAATAATCGAAATAATCGAAATAATCGAAATAATCGAAATAATCGAAATAATCGAAATAATCGAAATAATCGAAATAATCGAAATAATCGAAATAATCGAAATAATCGAAATAATCGAAATAATCGAAATAATCGAAATAATCGAAATAATCGAAATAATCGAAATAATCGAAATAATCGAAATAATCGAAATAATCGAAATAATCGAAATAATCGAAATAATCTAAATAATCGAAATGAAATAATCGAATTAATCGTAATAATTGAAATAATCGAAATAATCGGTTAATCGATTAATAAGAAATAATCAATTTAATATTCTTATTTTATTAAAATGTAGTACAAAATACTATGATCTTTAATTTCGCTTTATTTTGAAAATACACGTCAATGTTTACTGGTTTTGAGGTTAATTATCGCAAAATATTTTTGGGAAGTTACTCTCTCTTAAAGTTCAAATAGGGGATTTTAACAAAGTCAAATGTTCTTAGCTATTGTACAAGAAAATAGCAATTTTCGGTAAAAAATAATTGGCCAATAAGATTTTAGGAATTGATTTTATTGACTTTTCACATGGAAGCGTTAACAGCGGTAGCATACTTACCATAGGTTCGTCAGTATTCTTCTGAAACTGAACCAGCCGCACCCTGGTGACGTTTTCCATCTCGATCTCGCCATTCGGGCCGTCCAGATCGTCACCGCCGTTGAGGTAAGGTAGGAGTGGGGGTGGCGTGACGCGCATCGCGTCTTCTCCGTACACTTCGTGCGCCACCACATCGTGCGCTTGGAGAAGGGACTAAAACAAAGAAAAAAATTTATTCTAACCATGAACACAATTAATAGTCTGTATCAAATTTAAAACCCGCATCAACAAGCCACCTCTGTTTTCGAGTGGATATCCACGGTACACATATGGGTTATATATTACTTTATGGACGTCAATCTAAAAAGAGATAGAAGTACTTTTTAATACATTTTGAATGTTATAAAAATATTTAAAACACTAAAAAATTGCATTAGGCTCATAGGCGTAATTAAACAATTTTTATGGGAAGGGAGAGGAGGCAGTTCTTTTTTTGTCCGAAAATCAAAATAGATAGGAAATCCCATTTTGCCGGACATATCTGATAAAGGGCTGCTAAAATTTCTAGTCTAAGGGGATACCTTTCTACCACATCCTTAAGGGCGCCATTTCAGTGTATTTTACGTGGTCAAAACATAAGTTTACGATTTTTTACAGAACTTATTTTTCACTGGATGGATTTTAATGAAACTTTGGCAGATTATAGAAAAATGTTTAATGATTGAAATGAGACATTTTCATTTGTCCTGCTATTTATTAAATACTATTAAAAAATATAAAAAAGTGATAGTCACAGATGTAGTTCAAAAAACTTTATAGCATTATACATATTTTTCTGAATATTCTTGCCAAATTTTAATAATCAATGTTGCGTACTTTTTAAGTTCTGTACAAAATACGATTTCATCTAAAATTGATAATTTCACTACGTCCATGTTGTTTTTTAGTTCAGGACCTAAATTATAGATGTCCGATGAAGCAAAAGTAGCGAAAGCTTCGGCGCCGTGTTGCCATATTTTAAAATTGTCTTGAATTTAGACAAAACTATATTATTATGGTTATTTACAATTTACACAAATATAAATTATATATACAGGGAGACTCATTTTTTAACGTTTTCTTATTAAGACGAATTTTTAATAAAATTTGGTGCTTTGTCTAAAATTAAAATCTAAATTAACCAATATTTAAAATAAATGTCTTTATACGAGGAAAAACAAAAGTTTGTATTAAAGATGTAATTTTTTTAATGTATGCTGAGTTTTTTTTTTTGTAAATAAAGTGTGAATTCGGCAAAATGGGCATGAGTTGGTTATTCAATATGTTAACTATCATGAGAGAAATATTTATCAATGCAATAAAGTGATGCTACTTTGAAGGCCAGTAATGTAATAATATATTTATTAGGCTATTAGTGACACCGATATCTTTTTGCTCCAGTTCATGGTTTCAAAAAAAAATCAGTTAAAATAACACTCATGACTCTTTCATTAACTCTTCAAAAATGTTTTTTATTAGGAAGGATAAAATGAAAAATTTCTAAGTATCCAGTAAAAGCTTTATTTAATTCAATAAATAGGTATGTAAATAAATAACAAAATATTCTTTTCAAATGGCCTCTCTGGCTTTCAGTCGTTTTGGAATATTCCTTTTTTCTAAAAAAAAAAAGTTAAATGAGGTTAATTTTGTTAAAAAAAGCGTAAGTTCAAAATCATACAATAAAAATTAAAATTTCATATTTTTCTTTTTTAGATTTTTATACCTTTTGGACTACGCACCTCAGAAAATCCATACAGGGGTATTTTTGTAGAAAATTTAATTTCCTACAAATTGTTCTTTGACAATTTTTTTATAACTTCAACTGTTTTGTTGATAAGAACGAAAATATAATAATTTTTGAAAAAATTGGGCTTTCGAAGCCGACACCGATGAGACGGGTTCAAGTACAAAAAAATGTTAGTGGGCACTTTCAAAGAGTCACTAATATACTACAAATTCAGACTAATCGCAATGGATTACCATGAAATCAAACGGAGCTATATTAATTTAAATTTTAAAAATCATGGTCTATTTGTTATTTAAATGGGAAACATACATCGATCGAAATGAACCACTTAAAATCAAAATTACGGGCTCAAAATTTAAGGGAAGTTTTTTTTGATAAAATGAACAAAATTTTCATGTGTCAGCGAATCAAAAAAAAATGTTCGTTTTAAATGGAACACCCTAAATACATATATATGCCTACAATCTTTTAGGATGGTAGGAGACGCTAAAATACACAATTTTTGTTCTAAAAATGTATGTCCGAAAACTCTTCGTTTCCAAGATAAAAGTTTTAAATAAAATTCAAATTTTAATGAATATCTCGAAAAATTTTAATTAATTTCAATGAAATTTTTAAAGTTTGTTGTTACCTATTTTAATAAATTATCTTTTAGGCCTTTTAGCGTGTATCCAGCGGTATTATATAATTTTATTAGATTTCTGCTGAAAAAGAGTATCACCATGTATATTTTTAAATTTTTATAATGGTTTTGATAAAACGTTATAAAATACAACTCTTTGTCTTTTATTTTTTTTTGTTGTATAGCGCCTTTCGTTTTGAGATGTATTTTTAGTTGCTTCAGAGACGTGCATGCAAAAGTTTAGATATTATTTGTTTATCAGAAAGCGAAAAGAAATTCGCAAAAATATAAAGAGACAATAAAGTAGTATTTTTAGTTGTTTTATTCAAAACAAGTATCAACATTGTAAATATATAATAGACGCTATAACTTTTGGTTAGAATTCCCTGTATTTCGGACATGTGTTTATTCAACAAAAATATTTACCCCTACCGCCCTTCGGTTTAGTTTATTTTTGTTTAAACTTAAATTTTAAATTATTAAGATATGAAGCAGTGCATAGGGATCGTACTTCCACATATTCTTTTATCACCCTTTGCATCAACCTACCCTTATCTCAAAATTTTCAATGGTACCCTGCATTTATTGTAAAGTATTATGAAAGAGCACACTTTTAAGTACATCCATATTAAAAAATTACAAAGAATACTTTTTAGAATATTTTAATTTAAAATTTTGGCAAAATATTTTAGTTGCTAGGAAAAATCAAGGGAGCTATATGTATGAAAAGAATGTGAAATTTATTGCCTCGATGCACTGCCTCACCCCCAAAAATTCAAGATTCCAATTTAAATTTTACCAAAAATAAAGCCATCCAAAATTTTCAGGTGAACTCGGTATAAAGTTAAAATGACCTAACACCTGATTTCGATAGATTTTTTTGGAGACTTCAATCCACAAACCATATTTTTTTAAATAATGAATTTAAATTATAGTTTAATAATAGTAATAGGTACTTACCACCCAAATTTAGTACACAAAAAAACTACACAGTTAATGTAAAATTAACGAAAAATAATAAAAATATACTGGAAATATAATAAACACTCAAATTAAACTTACGAACACAAATCAAAAATACACATAACTAAAATAAATAAAACAAATAGCCCATATATATACTTATTTATTTCAATCATTATTTGGGGTAAATATTCCTACCTATTTATAATAGATTAGGGAAGGTCAGTGCTACTAACAAATTCTTGATTATTATTTAATCGGATTATCCCAAGTACCTGCTGCTACCCTAATTAGACAGTTAAATATTGAATTCACTGTAAACGAGAAAAACCTCGCTAAAGAATTGGTAGACTGCCTAATAATATATTTCAATAAATATGCGGTGTTGACAAATCTTTTTCACCAGACCAACTTATTTGAAAACATAAAATAGGAGTATGTTGCGTATATTATTTAGCTGGCCGATTTTTGCAATATAATGGACAAAATATGGAGGTTAAAGAGTGTAGCTACATCTACGTAGGAAAGGATTAACTAAAATTCACATTTAAATCACTGAATCAAAAACCGGAAGTGCTGTGGCGTCCTTAACTGTCATAAGTAATTTACTTCCCGTACCTCACTGTAACTAATAATATTTAAATAGGGAAAGTACCAAGTATTATTATTATTGAAAAGGTGAATGTATGGCCAATTTAACAATATGACTAAATATTGCGTTACTTTTCATTTTGGCGTTCTCTACTAGGATACAAAACTATTACTAATTGTAAAGAGCGACATTTCATTTGAAAGATAATTTAATGCAGAATATAACAAAACATAATTATAATAAATTTGAACTTGAATAATAATTCTAACGTTAAGAAATACAAACTTTAATCGCCATGAACTAAAATAATGAATTTATGGTACTCATTAAATTACTAATAAAATTAACTTTCAGATAAAGTGTCACAATAATTGACAATACGTAAAAATGTTTATTCTGCTAGAGGGCGCTAAAATCAAAAGTAGCTTAATGAACAGTCATATTGCTGGATTTTCCATAAAATGACTTTCTCAATGATATGATAATGTATATAGGCAAAGAAGTTAGAAAGGGTAGAGGTAACATAGGAAACATTTGTCGCTGCGTGAATTTTGCCAAAACCGAAAAACTGGGTTGAAGGAGTAGGGAGATGTTCTGGGCCGGATTTAATATTTGTATTGTAGTACCTAATTTTGGTGGGTAACTAAAAGATGAAAAATTATGAGACGTTTTTTTGACTTTATTTGTTAGCACGATTCATGTATGATGAGGGCAATAACACTTTATCAATATATAACTAGCTATAAGGGCCGATTCCACCGTTGTGTCAAACGAAGTTTAAATTATTAAACGAAGATTAAAATGACATTTTTAATGTAAAAATATCATTTCAAAATCCATTTAGTAATTTAAACTTCGTTTTTGTTAATATAAAAATGTCATTTTAATCTTCGTTTAGTATTTTAAACTTCGTTTTACAAAACGGTGAAATCGACCCTAAGTAAAAGTTTATAAAATTATTGCAATCAAATAGCTGTTGAGACAAAAAGTTATCGAAACAGCCAAAGTACTTTTTGCTCGAATTACACACAAGATTTTTTCTACGATCACACCAAAATAAAATAAATAATTAAATTTTATTAGAAATGGGTTACCTTTTCGTTCGTTATAATATTTTTTAAGTTTATTTGACATAGGCCCACTCTTCGAAGAGAAAAAAATGTTTAGGTACTTATATGCCGGTAATTATGTATGATTTAATTATTTACAGAAAATACCGTTCAATGAATTAAAATTTTAGGAAGTCAATTAATAGT